TCGACACTTGTCATTGGTAAAGTTTGACTATAATAATAGTTTCCAGTCTAGTATTTGGATGGCTTCTTTTGAGGCTTTATATGGATAGAGATATAAGTCACCTATATGTTGGTTTAAGGTTGGTGAATGAAAGTTACTTAGATCAAAGATGGTTCAAGATACCACTGACAAGATTCAGTTGATTAGAGAAAGGATATTGATAGCATAAAGTCATCAAAAGTCATACATCGATCATAGACATCGCAATTTAGAGTTTGAGATTGGTGACCATGTGTTTCTTAGAGTATCACTAACCAAAGGCATTAAAAGATTTTGATTAAAGCACAAGTTGACTCTGAGGTATATTGTTCTATTTGAGATCCTCGAAAAGATTGGCCACATAGCTTGTAGACTAGCACTTTTGTTGAAACTTGTTAGCATTCACTCGATTTTCCATGTTTTGGTGTTTAGGAAGACTTGGATCTATCTTATGTGCTTCAGGATGAGACCATTTCATTAGAAGATGACTTGAGTTATGTAGAGGAGCTTATAGCCACATTGGATGTGCAAGTTAAGAAATGTTGCTCTAAGGAGATAGCCTCAATAAAAGTGCAATTGTGAAATCACTCTAATGAGGAAGTGACGTGGGAGCTCAAGGAAGAGATAAAGGTGAAGCACCTACATTTATGAATAGTGAGGTATGTATAAAAAGGACTTTTTACAATGATTATGAGTGTGACTTTTATAGTATTTTGGTGGATATAATTGAGTTGGAGTATTTTGTTATTAGAAGTAGAGTAGTGATATTTAAATGTCATTGATTTGACATTGAAAAAAGTATTAAGGTAGACCCTTTTCATGATCTTATTGAAATTAAACACAACTCAATACTTGCCATTAATGAACCATTTGTTTTAGTTGAACAGTCTCACCAAGTTTATTATAATAGTTATCCATCAACCAAAAGAGATCAACATAATTAGTAGGCATATTTAAAACAAAAGCTAGGAGTAGATTCCACCTTCCCAATAGTAGAGATAAAGAAAACGAAATTGATTTAAATAAAGAAGCATACCAAGAAAATGATATGTCTATTCCAATTAATGTTACTCTCTTAGAAGAACTTGATAACTTTACAAAGAGGTTAATCTCTTGATTAGGGATGAAAAAGATGACATGCAAGGAGATGAAGATAAAAAAGATGACATGAAAGGAGATAAAGATGAAGATGAAGTTGAAGACAGAGATGAAGAAATATTTAGTGCTAATAATGATAATAATGAAGAACATGAGTTTGCTTATTCTAAAAGTGATTAATGATGGTAAGCATATATGATGTTAGTTTTGTATCTTTTATTACACAATTGTTTAACTTAGACTTTTATAATATTGAAAGATCTTAACATGTTATAAAATTATTATAGTTTATATTTATAATTGTTGAAATGAATACTTTATAATGGCGTCTTTTATTATACACATGATTAGGAATTGCTCTTGATTATTGTAATTTAATGATTTTCATAATTTGCTTCAATTTGTTTTTTTTTTAAATTTGTGTATGAATTTTACTAAAAAAATATTGCAAGAACGATGGTTAAAGGAAAGCATTCAAAACTAAGACCTAGAGCAACAAATGCCTCTAGAATTATGTCGTTGCCTACAAATCCTAATATTTTTACTGATCCATCCACTCAATCAGAGATGCAATAGGTCAATGATGTGCCTTTTGAGCCACCTTCTTTGTTAAGTGCATCTACAGAGCAAGTAGATAATGAAACATTTACTCACGATTCTCCTAAATCTACATCTATTGATTTAGGTGCAAGTGTAGAAGATACATCCTCAAAGTCAAAGGGTAGAAGGCCTAGTGTAGGATTATAAACTCCTACAGATCCATTTTAAAGTTTGTGTATAACTTCTATTGGAAATAGGTATGTTATCTTGTATTATAATGAGATAGTTATATTTGTTATATATTTTACTCTGCAATAATTTTCTTTTATCTTGTACAAGTATTTTTTTTAAGCGAAGGGTTACGGCTACAAGAATAGGGACCATAAAAAATTACTTCCACGGTTCATAGTTGACATGGAGGAAAGTCCCTAATGACGTAAAAGAGTTAATATTTAAAAATTTTCAAGTACTAAGTTAGTTATTCAATTAAATTATAATTTTTTTTTAATTAATTTGTATCAATTTTTTCAATTACTCTATTATTTTGATGTAAGAAAAATGTATTTGGCCTACAAATCAAGATGTTTTAGTTCGACGAATATGGGATAAAATTTGATCTGATTGGTTAAAAGACATGCTTTTAGAAGAGAGGAATAAAGCAATGACAAAAGCCAAAACAAACAACATTAAGGATTGCAAAAGCATGTCAAGAGAATAGATCATAAATGAAATCTAGGATGCCCTTATCGATACGGTATAAGATACAAAAGAATGGCAAAATAAATGGAGAAAAGCAAGGTAAAATCGTTTAATGACAATAAAAGGAAGCATTCCAAAGCACATTTGTAGTTCAGTTCCATTTGTTAGTCATGCAAAAAGGATAGTATGAATTAATCTTACTTGGCATTTATATGTATAGTTTTCTTTCAAACTAAATTTAAATTGTATGTTTAATAGTTTGACTTTGGTTTTTTTCTTATATGTTATTTATATATATGGATTATGATTGAGTATATATAGTTGTAAATAAATACAAGCAATTGAGATCGAACGAGATGTTAGCTTTTTGAAAGTGTTCAATCGCACCCATAAACATTTAGCGGGTCACGATGATTTAATAGACAATAACTATAAATCTATCAGTGCATGTACAAAATTGATTAATGTTTACTTCAAAGTTGATGATATAATTGAATATTAATCTTTTTTGATTTTTTATGTAGGAAATGTATAATTTTATAGTATTGCAAAAGTATGGTGAAGATTCATCATTTCAGCCATAATTTGATCTGCATGCTTAGACTGAAGCAATTGGAGGGATGGAGACTACACACATTCACGTGTATGGTTTTAGTACTCAAATGCTTGTTACAGCTCTACTTAGTGGAACATACAGTAATGCAGCAACATTTGAGTCTGGGTGTGGCCCTATCAACTCAAACTTTATCAGTCTTGCAATTGCATTGGAAAAGAAAGAAAAAAAAATCTATCAAAAAACTTGGGTATGATATGTGAGAAGATATGTAGGGAAATACGTGGAGAAATTAAGAATACAATGGCGGAAAGTATGAGTGAATTTATGGCATGTATGGAAACAATGATCGTAACTAATGCGCTTTCAAAACAAAAAAATGTGAGTACTTCAAACTCAAATCTTGACAAGTAAAAATGCAACATTTTATGATATGATGTCTTTTTTTTGTTGTTAGACTTTAATACTTTTTTAGTATGGGCATATAATAACACATTTAACTTTATATTCATATGTGTTTAACATTTTTAAATATTGTGTGTTTATAATAATTTTTAATTGTATGAACTTGATTTTGAATTTTAGTTTTTAATGCATGTTTCTTTTATAAATTTTGAATATCAATTGTGGATGTCAATTTATAATTTATGATCAAATTTTTAATTGATAATTTTCGTGGAAAAGGCATTATTGACAGAACAAGCCGTTGAAAATTAGTAAAAGAATTTCCATTAGAAATACATCACCAATAGAAAATTTCGTCAGAAATTTTCAACGAAATTTAATTGGAAATGGCTTTCTAATAAAAAATTTCGTTGGAAATACTTAACGAACGAAAAGTTCTGTTGGTAATTTTCAATGGATTGCCACGGTACAGTCGACAGATTATGTATTTTTTCTAACGAAATTTTTCATTGAAAATTTTTGATGGATTTTCAATGGCTTTTACCAACGAAATTTTCAATAAATTTTTTCGTTGAAAATATATAAAAAAAGGTATTTTTAATGAAATTTTAATTTTTTTCAATGAAAAATTTCGTTGGCAAAAGCTTACTTTTTTGGTAATGAACTTGCTTTGATACAAAAATATTATAAAATTATGAAAACAGTATTTTTGTACTTAGTGAAAATATTATTTGATTACAATAAAAGGATTTTCTATCTTTTGATGAAATATTATTAAAGTTTAAATAAATATTTTTTTCTAAATCCAAAAATATTATTAAATTATAATAAAGGATTTTTTATTTTGGTGAAAATATTATTTAATTAAAATAAAGGTTAATTTTATATTTTGATGAAAATATTATTAAAGCTTTAATAAAAGGTGTTTTTGTCTTTTGATACAAAATATTGTGATAAAGGGTATTTTTCTATTTTGGTAAAAAGTTTTTTAATTACAATAAACAATATTTTTTTTCTTTTGACCAACATATTATTTAAGCTTAAATAAAGGAAATATTTGTCTTTTCTCAAAAATATTATTAGATTATAATAAAAGGTATTTTCATATTTTGGTGAAAATATTAATTAATTGCAATAAAGGATATTTTTATCCTTTGATGAAAATATTGTTAAAACTTAAATAAAAGATATTTTTGTTTTTTGACAAAAAATATTATCAAATTATAATAGAGAATATTTTTAAATAATTGAATTATAATAAAAGATATTCTTATCATTTTATAAGTTATTCTTTGAGTATATCAAAACTCTTCTAAACGTCATAATAATAATAATAATAATAATAATAATTTTATTTTATTAAAAAAAAAGGTTCAGTTGAGCTGCATGTAGTATAGGTTTAATTTATATTGAATTTTCACTATTTATTTATATTCTAAATTGTTAAGGGTTTTCTTAACCTAGAAAAGAGAGATAAAAACTACTAAAAACTCTTTAATAATGATATCTTAACTGAAAGGATAATGCTGTGGTTTGTTGTGATGTATGATGAACGTGTAATATTTTATTTATTAGAAGAAGAAACGATTAAAAGGGGAAAAAAACCAGAAAAAGGACATTTTGGTAATTGAAGGTGAAATTTCTTGTCCGGACAAGCAACAACTTCCCAGTCCCCAGTCTTAAGCAAGAGTTAAATGGGTCTTCCAGTTGAGGTGAGACTTCGCAAATAGAGAGAGAGAGTCTCCACCCGAAAGGTCCAAACACCCAAAGATAATTAAAACTCTCTCTGTCGAATTTCAAATCTGAAATTGCGAATTTAGGCAGAAAAAGAAATACTCTTCGATTATGGCTTTTCAAGGGAAGAAGCTCATAAACAACCCTAACGGTTCGCGTCTTCCTTCTCCTTGTTTCTCACTATCTCCTCTTTCTATTACTTATGTATCGCCTCCGATCATCTGAATATTTTTTTTTCTGAGAAAAAAACCATGAAATAGAATTCAATGTATTTCCTCACTCAGTCTTCCGTTCTCTATCTCTTTATTCTTTTTGTTTTTATTTTAATTTTAAATTTAAGGATGGAATTGGTTCGCATTTCCAAATTCTTGTTTATTTGTGCTTGCATTGTGAAATGTGGATATTTTCATTGTTTCTGTGCTGTTAGCTGTTAGATAATGGATTTATTTTATATATATATATATATATATATATTTTATGAACTAGTAGTGGCTTTCCTTTACTCTCTGAGCGAATGAAATCTCAGAATTTAGGCAAGACTATTGTCCAAATAAAAAAAAAGGGAAAAAATAATAGCTTTAGGCTCAAAGGCTCAAACTATTATTTCTTTTTCCTAAATTTTCTGCATTAACTGCACTTTGTTTACGGCTAAGTTCAATCAAGGCTTGTATTCTCTTGGTTCTCGTTAACATTCCTTTACTTTACTATGCTCTTTCTACCAATATAGACGATGTGAAATATGGAAAATAATTGGGTAACTGTTAATTGACGGAATTGACAATTTTAGTTTTCTGTTTTATGAAAAATTATTTTGATGTTGTTTTATTATCGTGGTGGCAGATGTGGTCACTGAATTTATTGAGGGTCTTGTGGAAACCTATCCAGGACTTCAGTACTTAGATGGTTTCCCTGAGGTGATTAATTTTTCCTCCTTGCTTATATATGTTAGTGCAATGAGGCTTAATTTACACAAAATGGTAACTTGCCCGTTTGCAGGTTAAGGTTGTAATACGTGCAGATGTTTTGGGTGCAACATATGACAAGGTCGCTGTCATATCAGGTTGGGACCCTTTTAAAGCTGCTAACACTTCATATCTGTTTTCTTGTGCTGGAAAATGAAATTCAAATTCTTTGCTTTGTTACTTTTATTATCTTCATGAGCTATGACCCTTCCCAGACAACTTTTCAAGCTGCAGTCACCTTTTGTCGTTTCTAATGATTTTGCCAATCAATTAGTTTAACATCCTCATTGTTAGGCAACTTTAGGGACTAAACTTGTAGTTATTATTCATTAACATTTATGCTCAAAAACTTTCCCTAACATTTGTAAGAAAATATATTAGTAACTATTCTGATTGTCCTGGACCGGTTGTGGATTAGTTGGTATGCATCATTGGGCATAAACTTTGGAGCATTCATGGTTCTGGCCTTCTTATAGTTTTCTTCCATATCATCACTTATGTTTTAACTGTATGGGGTTTATTTAAGTCCATGCGCATTCCTGTTTGCACATGTTACATCTTGTTTACTTTTCTCACAGTTTATGTGATTAAAACAAGAATAATTATTATAAGTGGAAAAAATGTATTGAATTTTCTGGCCTCCTCTCCTCTTGGGAGAAGAATGGTGTTCATGTTATGTGATACTGGCTGTCTCAGGACCCTTTTTGGCTAATAAAAATTATGAAAACGGTACATAGAGAACTTTTTATTTGATATAATTTGTGATGCAGGAGGTGGAAGTGGGCACGAACCTGCACATGCTGGATTTGTGGGAGAAGGGATGCTGACAGCTTCCATTTGTGGAGATGTTTTTGCATCTCCTCCGGTTGATTCAATTTTAGCTGTATGCATTCTATTTGCTATTTTTTTTTGGTTTAAAAAACTGCCAATTGTGTTAACATCTTTCCCATATTTGACTGAAATTATCATCAGGGCATTCGAGCTGTGACTGGTCCTATGGGATGTCTTCTGATAGTTACGGTATTTTTCTTTCCTAATAAATCAGGTGATAGGTTTATATGATATCAATTGCTATGTTGGGGGTATTTAGAGCTATCAAAATGTGTGCTCTAATTCTTTGTTTTCTTTTAGAATTAACCTCTTTTTAATTACTCCGGAACACCCCCCTGCAGCCCCTCATCTTTTAGTTCTGATTCATGTTATCATCTGGATGTGGATAGAATTATACTGGTGATCGCTTGAATTTTGGTTTGGCTGCTGAGCAAGCAAGGTCTGAAGGTTATAAAATTGAAGTATGTTTTCATGCTAAACATTTTTTTAAGACATTTTTATTTCGTTGACTTTCTGAGGCATTGTCAGGGAAAATAATATAAAAAATATTGGATGCAATTCCTTCCCTTTGCAGACTGTAATTGTTGGAGATGATTGTGCATTACCTCCACCCCGAGGCATTGCTGGACGAAGAGGTTTGGCAGGAACTATTCTTGTTAATAAGGTACTCTATCTCTCTCTGTCCATACTTGATTCCAATTAACTCAGAAAACAGTTTTAATGCTGTTTGACAAAAGGCAAACTGTATTTCTATAAACTGTTAACAGGAGTTTCCTTTCAATGCTGTTTATCTAAATGGGTTGCTCTCTTTGAAAGTCTACCTTTAGAAAAGTGGATTTTTTAAAATTAAAAATTTATTTGCAGTAAATTATTGCAATTGTTCCTCTTCCTCTTTGTGGAATACAGGTTGCTGGAGCTGCAGCTGCTGCTGGCCTTTCTCTAGCTGATGTTGCTTCAGAGGCAAAATGTGCATCCGAGATGGTTGGGACAATGGGTGTCGCACTATCTGTTTGCACATTGCCTGGTCAGGTTACGTCTGACCGCTTGGGCCCAGGAAAGATGGAACTTGGTCTGGGAATTGTGAGTTACATTTCAGTTTTCATTGTGAAATATTTTAGTGCTTATATTTCTGCAGAATCCAGTGAAAGTAGTTTTTTGTTTACTTTTATTGTTTTGAGTTGATCAATTTTAGACTTTAGTTCTATTCGCTTAGCCTTTGACTGTTGTTCCATGTGTTGTGCTTCTCTTTGTTTTTCTGATTTGGTTTCTATTTCAATACTTAACAAATATTCTTCTTTCAGCATGGGGAAGCTGGTGCTGCTGTGGCAGACCTCCAGCCTGTGGATGTGGTGGTTTCTCATGCTCTTAAGCAAATATTGTCACCGGTATGTCCCAATAGCTTAGCAGCAGCTTGTTTATTTTAATCCCCTGCCCTTTTACATTATACCTCTAAGAAAAACAGAATTATGCTACATAGATCTCATACCACTAACGGGGATGATGTCTGATAATAAGTCTACTATTGCTATTGTGAAGAAAATAGCCTTGAATTTTTTCTCTAGTTGTTCAGTATGATATTGTTATATCTCTCATTTGGTTGTTTTTTCTTTTCATTATTTCATTTTTGAGGTACAAAACTAAAGAGCCTAATTCCAATGGAAGCTATTTAAGTTTCAATTGATAGTTTATACTTTTATTTGGTCTAATTGAGCCTTCCCCTTTCCAATATGCCTCATTTAAGACCAATTATTAGCTGTGCTGAAGACTTGCTGTTTAATTATGGTTATGTGGTATGATAAATATGGCTTAAATCAAAATAGAAGACTATCAAAGAACCATTATATATCTAACTGAAAAAAAAATAAAATAAACCACTACTGTTATCCTAATTTTAAAAAAATTAGAACCTTATTAGAAACTAGAAAGATAGAAAAATTTAGATTTCTCTCTCTGGGCTCTTTCTCTGATTCTCTTCCCTATAGCAGCCATGGCACTCTTAACTAATGACATCTAGACTTCTAAAACTATTCAATTTGGATTATTTTAGGTTCATATGTTGAAATCATGTGCCTTATGTTGGGCCATTGGGCCACATCTCATTTATTTTGAAAAACAGCATATGTATCTCTTTCACAATATTCAAACCTGTTACTATTATTACTTGTTCAAGGTTAGTTTCATTGATACATCATCTCTTTGCCTTTCCTGTTGTGGTTGAGACTGAAAAGGGCCTCCCAGACATTGATAAAAATGCATAGCACTGCATTATATTGCCATTGAATGTTTGATTTGCCATGAGCACTGTCATATGGCTTGGGTCACTCCTACTTTCCTCTTCATAGCCATCCCACCACCATTACCTTTTTATCATCTTCTGGTATGTATTATTTCAAATTGCTGCTTAATATTTTTAATTTTTTCAGGAAACTAATTATGTTCCAATTACACGAGGCAATAGAGTGGTCCTCATGATTAATGGGTATGTATGGATATTAATTTTCTTTCCGCTGTTTTATTCTCTATTCTAATTGGTCAATGTGGTTTTGGGCTTCAAATCTGAATCCAGTCTGGTGCTGATTTATTTTGACCTTTGGCTGGGAAATACATTAGCATTTCATGGAAAATAACTAGATGGATCATGCACTATGCTGTTTAGACATGCCATTGGGATAGGTACTTGGTGCTGGTACAAGATGATGAGACTAAGGGTCACCAACAAAATAACGGTAGAGGAAAAAGATGAGGACTGAGGAATATGGCCTTAAGCTAGAAATAATAATACTTGGTCAACCGCAATGAGTTCACAATATGCATTGTAAATAAGTTGAGTTTTTAGCTGTGTTAAATTGTTGAATATTTTTTCTTAGCTTGGTTGTAGGTGAATGTAGCTTTTGCCTTTAGCCCGGTAGGTGTTGCTCCGGCTTTAAAATTTGACTTTAGCATCAGTTGTAAAATGAAAATCAAGCTAATACAAATTAGTATAACTGAATCTATGAATTGTTATTTTAGATATGCACAACAAATTGGTATGACATGATATAGACATGGCAATAAATAATATTTTTCTATGTATTTCATATGCCTAAAACAATTTTGGCATGAATGAAAACATTGATTTTTTTATTTGATTTTGAAAATGGGCTTTGCTATTTTCTTAAATTGCAGTTGATAATGGCTCTAGTGGCCTAAAACCAATGTTATTGCTTGATTTCTGATTTTTAGTGGTGGGTTGCTATCAAAGTTTGAAGGCTAAAATAGATCTTTACTTGAACCATATTCTGGCCCATAGTAACCGATATCCATTGGGCCTACAGCAGCATATAGTACCCAAATATAAATAACCTCAGAGAGGCAAAAGCTCTTCTTTGTTTTGTCCTCCCCTCTCTCTTGCTTCAGTTCTTGCCAGTTAGCTTTCGTTCACTGTCTCCTTTCACTCAAATTTTGTTGTTCTTGTTCCCAACTACCCTAGATATCGTGTAGAGATTCATCAATTACATCTGATCATCAAAGTTGTAGATTGTACTAGCAGATCATGGTGGATATCGATGTTGTGTGGAGTGGCATCTGTAATTGACAGGGATTTGGATCCTATGATCCCATGTCTTTCCCATATTCTTGCCGTGTCCTTTGTCTAAATATATATATATTTTTTTGGTGTCTCATCATGTTTGACATGTATCTGGCCATGTCTTAGGTGTGTCTATTTTGGACATGGACAAGCAGGGGGCCTTTGCTGTGTCTGTGCTTTATAGGTTGGAAGATATTAGGAAAGGTAAATCATGAATACTAGCTTTGATTGCGTGCTCTGGATGTATGTTCTTTAGGCATACTCTGTTTGTTAAGGTGCCTGAGCATAAAAAAGCATAAAATAATAATTATTTTTGGCTCCGTTGGTTGATGCTTTTGTTATTTGCTTTTTTGCATTTTGAAGAATTGTTATAAAGCAGAAGTAAAAGGTAAAAGGCAATATCATAATTGATTTAAAATGGAGAAATAAGTAAAAAATGAATTATAACATAACTAGTGTACATAGAAGTAGATTTATGCATTTTGTAATTTAAAAAGAATTGCATATTGTGTATAATCCTTTAAAAACTTGCTTTTGTATCTGCACATGCTTTTTGCTTTTTTGCTTCTGAAAGCTAAAAGCAAAAAGTAAAAGCACAAACAAATGGAGCCTTAATTTCGCTCTTCTACTTTTAATAATTAAAGTTTTTGATGTAAGAAAGGTAGGTATCTAGTGTTTATGGCAATTCTCTGGTTTGAATGCTTGAGTGAAACATGGAAAATTGAGGATAAAGAAAAAAAAGGAAGAAAATAAATCCCTAAGCTTTACACTCAGGTTTCCTTAGGAGTCACACCTAAGGTTGATCGCATCACACAAAAATTACTCAATCACAATAGCAAAAAATGCTCAAAATTCTCTCACATAAGTTTTCTATATCCAAAGAAAAGAGTACATTGACTTCTACATAGACTCTTGGAATTCCTAATACCATCAGAATTAGCAGTCTTACTTCAATAACTACTTAAAGAAATAGGGAGGACTGCAAATAGAAAACTAACAAACTTAACTTAAAATAAACCCTGATAGGATAAGGAAAACCAAAACTAAGATCCTAAATGCAAAATGCCAAATTTAACACAAAGTCCCTTGTACTTGAAAAATAAACAGTATACCGATTAACATAAAATAGCTTGAATAGCCGAAAATTTTGAATCTAGAATAGTTATAATCATGTCTATAAAATACAACAATGTAACAAATAGTTTAATCCCTCAAATAGTTGCTTTGCATTTTGCATTGGTTTCTGTTTTGAACGTTATTTCTATGTCCTAAGGCTAAATGAACTCTTATATAGTTTTACCAATTGGGGATTCACAAATTGTTTTTTCCTTCTTACTATAAGTAGCCAACACGAGTCTTCTATGCATATAATTTACACAAAAGGTGAGGCTTGATGGTTTGTGATATTATATGATGGATCTAATTCTCTCTCTCTCTCTGAAACTTAATGGTTATTCATTAGATGCTCCAAGTTATTCCTGTAAATATACCAACAAATTTTTGTTGTTTTTTTAATTCTGGATAATCGTAATGACACAATTAAAACCTTACTATGTAGACTGTATTTTTGTGCAGTTTTACACTGGTTGTTAAGTATATACTGACTCATCTAAACTGACTTTGCTGCTCTTCACTGATGTGTAAAGTTGTGCTTTTTGGCTGTTTAAATAACTTGCATTTACTATGCAACTGTTCCCAATGCTGTAGTTAATACATATGTGCCAAATCATGAGCTTACTGCATACTGTGTTTTTCCATGGTGCCAGTTTAGTGTTGAGAACTCTTTAGCGTCTAAAATCTCCACTTTGGTTGGCTCAAGTTGTTATGATTCCAATTATGTGTTTGTTCTTGTGTGTTCTTTTATTTTTGTTATTATTATTTCTGAAAAGTTAAAACTTTGCATCCTGCATCATCATTGCCACTGTAATGATGGAATTGATGACTGTATAGGGGAGAAAGTGGACAGATAGCTTATGAGCTGGTCTAGGTCTAGTTTGGCTTGATTTGAACTTGTTTATTTGGTAGCTTGAGCTTGAAAATTGAGCTTGGTTTGTAATAACTCTAATAAGCAAGCTTGAGTTCAGGGGTGTTTATCTTGTTTTTGTCGTTATGTGATGGAGAGCATTCTTTAAGTTTTCGGAAAAATGTCGACTCTAGGCGTAAAGCTAGGAAAGAGGATTTAATTTATTTGTAGAGACTTATTGGTTTGGTTTATTTTATTAGTTGTTATTTGGGTTTGGTGGGCTCTATTTTCTCAGGGGCTTAAAACCAGGGCTTATGAAGCTTATATATATAGGTTTTCTTATGTTTGGAGATTAAATTTTGATGAATGATATTTTTGACATTGAGATATTGAGTTTATAAAATTGGAGATTTTCAGATTATTCTTGAGTTTTGCTCTTTTGGGTTATTTGTTCTGCATGTTTGTGGATACAGCTGTTTTAAAAGTTCTGTTTTATGTTTTATTCTATTAGTTTAATTGCTTTTGTTTGAAATGTCTTTTTTTTTCCTCCCATTTGAAATATTTTTATTGTGATCTTTAATTGTATTTTTGTTGACCAAATTCGGTTAGAATTATGATTAAAAGATATTTAGTATTACTATTTGAAAAGAATTTGAGTAAATGAATTAGCTTGTTTAAAGCTCAAAGTTGAGGTCATTTAAAAGCTCTAATTGGGCTTATTTGTTTAAACAAATTGAGCTCAAACTCAATAAGAACCTAAACTCAATTTACAAATTTTAGGCTTAATAAAAGCTTGAGCTCGATGAATTAACAAATTGAGCTCAAACTCAATAGGAACTTAAACTTAATTTCCAAATTTTATGCCTAATGAAAGCTTGAGCTCGATGTATTGCTTAAATGATCTCCCTAGTCAAGCTTGGCTTGGCTCAATTATGCATTCCTGTGTATTTATGTACTGTAGTAGTTTTGTCCAGGTCTTTTCGTTATCATTATTGCTGTTATCATTATTTTACAGATCTTTTAACATGCAGCTTAGGTGCCACTCCGGTGATGGAACTGATGATTGCAGCTGGAAAGACTGTCCCTAAATTGCAGCTGGAATTTGGACTTGCCGTTGAAAGAGTGTATACAGGATCATTTATGACCTCCCTTGATATGGCAGGTTTGTTGTTGTTGATAATTTTTTTTTTGTTTGTTAGTAGTATATTTCATTATCAGTACAATGTCTCTTTCAGGATTTTCAATCACTATAATGAAGGCAGATCAAACTCTGTTGCAACGCCTGGATGCTCCGACTAAGGCTCCCAATTGGCCTGTTGGTTCTGCTGGTCTGTGAATGTGTTAGAATGTTGACACTTCTTGTTTATGTCTCTTCATTTCACTTGTCTAAAGATGCATAGGGAAGAAATTTGAGTGGTGTTAAGCCTCATATTTTGCATCGCATATTTATGAATTGCACTGCTGCAAAGATTATCTTAACCTTTCATTACAATGGTTAAAACAGTTAACCACACTAGATTGAAAATTAAAAATAAAGTTCAAACGCAATTTGGGGTTCAGTAAGCTCAAATGCTGTGTTTTCTTGTAGGTAATCGTCCTCCTGCCAAGATTCCTGTCCCACTGCCACCATCTCGTTCAATGAAGAGTGAGGAGGTTGGTTGCAGGAATTATTGATTACTATAAAGGGGTATATTGTGAATGGACAGGCCATTTATTATAGATAAATCTTCTAATTAAAGGCTAGACTTACATTTAATTAACATCTCTTTCCATGCAGAATGTAGATATTAGTTTTTTAGTTGTCATTACTAGACAGTTTAACTTCATTTCTAGTCATTGATGTTATTATTGATAGATGTAGACAACACTGCATGACATATGCCCAATCTTAGCCTTGCTAGGTAGGCTATGGAAAAGTATTATAGCAATACTAACGGTAGAAGAGAATGAAATGACATCATATTTAATTTCTCAGTATGTACGGAAAAGAAATTTCTTGTTATGCAGTTTTATGTTCTGTTGATGATACATCACAATTGGCAAAGGTGCCTTCTTGTCCCCCAAGTCCACAAAATAACAAAACATAATATGGATTTACACTGGTTAAAATGTTGTCATGGCCGAGAAATTAATCCATGGATAATCCTTTGGATCTGGTGGAATAGCCTAGAAGCTCCTATGGCTGATGCTAAACTTTTTTTGAGTTGAAATAAAATACTTTTACAAATAGACTGTGGGTGTTTTATTGTCTGAAGGAGGAAGAAAGGAACTCAAGCAGATGAAAGAAAAAAGGAAAAAAAATGAATGAACATTAGTTAGTGATGAAATTCAATCCCTTTGGACACAATCCTGTGGTTACATTCTTTTTGGTACCTGAACTGTGTATTACATGTGGGGAGGTGGGTTGTTAATATGGGTTAAAATAGCAAATACTTTAGATGCCTCAGGTTTTTGGGGTGCTACGTTTTTGGGGCATATGACCTTGTCAAGGGCTGTTGGCTATGAAACAAAGCAGTTTCTGGTTGTGTTTAACTGGCATCGTACTATCACCAAAAGGAAAAATGAAAATGGAATGCCTAAAAAGATGAACTGAGAAAAACGATAAAAAGAGGAGAAAATGGATATCGGGGAGGGGTAGGGGGGGATTGGAGGAAAGCGTTCATTAAGCTGACCCATCATGTTTGTTTCTGGTAGTCATTAAGTCGGCCGCTGCAGCTTAGTGAACGGGGCCGTATTCTTGAAGTAGCTATTGAGGCAGCGGCAAATGCAGTAATCGATATGAGGGACAGTTTGAATGACTGGGATAGCAAAGTAGGTGATGGTGACTGTGGGTCAACTGTAAGTCATACACTGCCTGAATCTATCGTTTAGCTTTTGGTTCACAGTTTCTTGCATGCTATGCATGATTAATTTGCTTTTGCAGATGTACAGAGGTGCAACAGCAATCCTTGATGATATGAAAAAATAGTATGCTCTTTCTCCAACAGTTTTATGTTTTCTTTTGTTGCTTGAATAGAGGAAATTGTCCTACCATAGTAGTTGTGGCAATCCCAGGCCAGAATGCTAGGACATATGCGTAATTGTTATGCAAGCTGTCTGCCCACCATTGCAATTGGTTTTAAGATTGCTCGACATGTATAACTTTTTGATGGACTGCCAGAGGTGTTAATGGGTCATTATCTTAGACATGTACGAAGGGGTATATTTAGCTTTGACTTTAAACCTTGCTAATAATACCAAGTAGTATATATATTTTAAGACTTCCTCAATGTGGGCTGACATGGCCTGCATCGAGATCTTTTTCTTGTTTTAACAACTATTGGATTGGTTTTGAAAATAGTGATGTGCATGCAAACTAATTATATATTTCACTTGTTATTATAGATTTTGTGATAGTGTCATTAGAATGCTAAAAAAAATAGTGATGTACATGCAAACTAATTATGTAATTCAATTGTTATTATAGACTTTGTATTAGTGTCATTACAATGCTAAGAAGAATTCTAGGAAAATTGTTGTTTGAGATGCTTCAAAGTCTTCGATGCCCATAATTCTACAGAGGATATTTCCCCTAAGAGATATTAATGTATTCTTTGTTTGTCAGCTCTGTTGTAATTAGTTGTGTTGCTATTATTAGCACAATAGTTCAATTGCAGAAGTCATGCAATCATTGATGACTATCAGCTTTAAATCCTGTAGTTTTAATATCTAACAATGCTTTTACACCTCATTGATTATCATTCCAACAAAATATTTTCATTCTTTTTTTGATGATCTTACTTGATGAATCATCTTCATCTGTTTTCAGTTATCCTCTGAATGATGCTGCAGAAACAGTGAATGAAATTGGATCATCTGTTAGAAGAGCTATGGGAGGAACGAGTGGAGTCTTGTAATTAACTTGCCTGTTCTCTGTGCTTGATTTATACTTAACAAATAACCCAAAATATAAACTCTTGAGATATCTTTTTGAACAGATACACTATATTTTGTAAGGCAGCATATGCACGGTTGAAAGCAAACTTGAATGCAACTGTCACAGCAAAGCAATGTGAGACGATGCTTTTCATCTGAAAGACTTTCTGATTTAAACACCTTGACTTAATGACTTTTGATTTCAGGGGCTGAAGCACTTGAAGCTGCCATTGATGCAGTCAGTAAATATGGTGGGGCTAGTGCTGGTTATCGTACGTTATTGGATGCCCTTATTCCTGCATTAGCAGTTCTTAAGGAGGTTGTATAAAACGACTGCCTCTTTGCTCTTTTTGTTATGTGGTCTAAGATTTCCTGCTAATTTTATGTTTCGGAAGCAGAGATTAAGTGCCGGTGCTGATCCTACCACTGCTTTTGTCGTCTCATCTGAAGCAGCATTAGAAGGAGCTGAATCCACTAAAGACATGCAGGCACAGGTTGCTGTATCATTTTGCCTTTGCTTATGTAGTATTTAGGATTCTGATTGCATTAGGCTGTTCTTTTTGGTTGACAGTTCTTGGGTATATAATTCTATTAAAATGCTGTGGTGTTGCATGCTACATCTTAAAATTCATACTAAAGTAGGAAGCTCTTTCAAATTCCACGAACTGAAAATAGAACTCTAAATATATAGAACAAACTGACTAAAAATATAATAGAATCTGCAAGTAAAACTCTAAATATATACAAGAAACTGACTACAAATAGGATAGGTGAGATCACTATTCTTTTGCAGGTGTTTTTCTTTAAGCTAAAATACTAAATATGTTCTTGAACTTTCTCACTTTACCTAAATAAGTCCATAGATTTTTATTGTATCCAAATAAGCCAATATCCTATAATTTGTACCCGGATGGGCTCTTATATTGACCAAAAGATGTTATGCCTATCATGTGATCTTTTTGGTCATTAGGTCCATCGCCAGCTGGCATCTTCTGTAAAGTATGCATAGTGGACATTGATGTGGGTTTTTTGATGTGTTAAAATTAGTTTTTTTTTTTAAAAATTATTTGTTGAAATCACTTGAGTGGGAAATTTTTTGCTTGAAATGTGGTCATTTGAGTTTAGCCAATTTCACCACATTTGAATATCCATGTCATGTTATGAATGCGAAAGATCTCAGTTGACCATGAGCCTAAAGGCCATTAAGGTCAGATGACATTTTTCCATCAACATGAGGGTTTATCTAAGTAAAAATCATAGAATAGGAACTTGTTTTGAGTACAATAAGAAGGTAAGGTTTATTTTGTTTTTTGAAAAATTTGGGATAATTCAGGGCCTTATTAGGCACTTTTTCGTTTTCCTTGTGCCTTTTGGGAGAGTTTCTTGTCTGCATTTTTTGAGTTGTACTTTGGCCTTTGGGTACAAAAAAAAGTGTCAGGGTTAGTGCTATTTAATCAAAGGTTTAAGTTCGGATGTAGTTGCTGCACTTTTTCGACATTTGATTTGGTCTCTAAACTTCAGTTTCTTAAAATCACCATTTGTGCTTTCAAATTATTCCAACCAAGAAAAATTCTGTAATACCCAATAAAAGTACAAGACTGAATTCTAACAAAATTCTACATAGGATAAATTTTTTTAATAGGTTGCCTAAGCTAATTTAGATCTGTTTGGTTAATGTTTCCTGCTTTCTATTTTGTGCTTTCTATTTCGACTAATTTTATTTTGTCTTATTTTTAAAAATTTGAAAGCAAAATGCATGTTTGGTGTTTGGTAAGCAGTGTTATTCCATGTTTAAAAAAAAAAGAAGAATGATGTTATTGCAAACATAATAATTCAATATAGGAGTAAAGTATTAAAAAATTAATAATTAATAACAACATTATGTAATATAATAGATTCTGATAAATTTATAAATTTGTGTAATATATTCTATCATGTTATTACTTATTTTCTATGAAAAATCATTCATAAGTTTCATTTTAATAATAATAATAGTAGTAGTAGTAATTAACTATTAAAAAATTAAGTTTAATAAAGTTTAAATGTTAACATAATGTATTATACATTAAACATTATAATAAAACAGGAAGACATAGCCTTTAATTGTGAAATATTAAATATTACAATATGTTATTTATTTAGGTATTGTAGTGCATATTATATCTAATATATCAATAAATTTATAACATAATTTAATTTTAAATATATTGTATTGATAAATATAGTTTCAAAATAATTGAATACTATACTGTAAAATATAATTATATAAACATCATATTATATTTTGTTTGATTTGCAATATATTTATATATTGTTACAATATTATATTGAATATCAAATGTTTTTATATGGTTTTAATTTATATTTAATACTTTATATTGTTTTCATTTTTAATGTTTGTAACCTAAGTCTATACTAATTTTGGCATTTATTGTTAAACTATACATTTTGTTGGTTTTATAAGTTTATATTAAATTAAATATTATTATAAATTTATTATTAAATTAATTTAGTCAATGGTTTTTTATTATAAAACTTTAAAAGAATAAAAATCGTGATACATGGGCATTGCTCATCTACTTATAAATAATGTAAGAGATGAAGATATTGCTTTTGAAACAATGAAATTGAGAACTTGTTTCTTTTTTGTTTTTGTTTTCATTGTGGGAATAGGTAACTCAGTTTTCTATTACTGTTTAAAAAACCTGGAACCTAGAAAGAAGATGGAAAACAAAAATGATATCAAATGAGACCTTAGATTTCATTGAAACACACTTAGAGGATCTAACAACATCTGAAGATTGATGGAGTTTTCTTTGTTATGGAAGCCATTTGGTCATCTATATAAGGTTGTACATAATTTGAGATGCAAGCTGTTGATGGATACTGCTTTTGTATGCTTGTTTTGATGCCTTGGCAAAATATCCACAAGACCATATGCTGTTTTATTCTGTTTGTTTGTATGGAGATCTGATGGCATAGCTGATGTAGGCTGGGCGGTCGAGCTATGTCTCCGTAGGTATACTTTCAACAGTTCCAGATCCTGGTGCAATGGCGGCAGCTGTGTGGTACAGAGCAGCTGCTTTGGCTGTGAAGGATAAATATCAAGCTTCATGAACTGATGTATCAAAATTTTATCCTCGTCTTGCATTACAGTTCATGTGCCCTTTTTGCTGCTGATTGACCAATCAAAGTTTTGTTTATGATTAATACTACCAAATGGCTTTCCGCATATGCATTTTTTTTTGGGTGCATAAAGCTGAGAGAGCAGGTTTCATCCATACACATAATTGAATATTGAATGCTTTCTGAAAATGTAAATTCAACATCTAAATAGAGTTATTCAAAATAATATTTATGTTGTAATTTGCATGGCCTTCGTTGACAGGTGAGTCACTGCTTTATTTGAATATAATTGAGTGTCATGGAAGCATAGTGTTGCATGATTTTAGGTCAAGTATTGGATTTGCAGCAAAAGGAAACTGCGCTTCTGATAGAACTACTAGCACTTGAAGTCTTATTTTGCTGGTTAACCATATATACATTCTTAAGTTTATCACAAAGAAAGTCGATTGTGTTACGTTTTATTGCTCCTTGGGTTAGTAGACCAATCTTTTCAGACACAAAAAAAAAAAAAAAAAAAAAAAAAAAAAAAAAAAAACACGAAAAACAAAAGAAGAACCTTTGAACTTTCGGTAATTGTTTTAGGGGAGGAAAGTTGAATGAGTTTTAAGGTATTATTTATTATCAATTTTTTTTTTCATTTATTTAAAGATTAGGCTATGAACTACGACCGTGAAAAGAAGGTTTTCTATGAATTAATGGTTTGTTATTTTTGATTCAGAGATGACAATTGGATGATTTGAATTGGTTTTGGATTGAGTTTAATCAGGTTCAAGTTATTTTTTCATTTTAAATTGAATATTAATTTTTCAAACGATATAAAAGTGTTATAAATAAAATGTCTTTTTTTTTTTTTTCTTATTTTGAGTTCAAATTATATTAAGATCACCTTAAAAATGAAAACAACGTCAACATAATTTTTAAAGATCTATAATTAGTATCATAGGTTCACCCGAATCATGTCAGCACCCGGCAGAACACTTTTACCCTTGGTTAACGATTAATAATTAACCTAAGGTATTTTAGGTATCTCATATTTAAAAGTAGATATTGGATGCTCAATCATTAATTTTATTTAAAATAGTGTCTTAATAAGCTATTTTTCTTTCTTACAAACCAAATAAATTTTGTAGTTTCTCTTCTAATGGCTCTCTTTTACCGAAATGATGGCAAACGCTATCCCTTATTGCACCGCAAGTACGCTTTTGAGCCTAGGCGACAAAGTCCTTTGCTTTCTTTCTCTTCATCTTTTGTGTTGAATTTCTCAACTGTGTCCAACATATTCAACAATGCTAGCTTCCAATCAATTAATAAGAAAGTTCAGCATGATTTGTGAAAAGTTATCTAGTAGAGATTATAGAACTAAGTCAACACAAAATCCATGGTCCATGACAATTTAGACGCCTTGACAGAACTGTCTTTTACCATTTTACAAAAGGAAAAGTTCCTTTGGTATGACTTTTCTTATCAAAAAGGTTTTTTAAGTGTAAAATCATGATCTGAGCATCTATATTCTCGTGCTATTTCTGCAATTCACAAGTCGAGCTAGCAAGTATATCACACGTTGCCAAATCATCATCCTTATGAGTCTACCACTTCCAAGACCTTATCATCGATGTCCTCAACAAGGACTGGAGGAATAACATTCTTAAGGACATATGTTTGCTTTACAATTGATCTTTATTTTGAAATGACAAAATCAAATGACCAAAATATAAGTGGTTAAATGTATTAAGACTTCAGAAAATCCCTTAAACGTTTAAATGAAAAATGACTAGTGTTTGAAGCTTAAAACAATAGAGAAAAAGCTTAAAATGCATAAGATATTGAGACTTCTTGAGTTAGTATTGATACATCAAGCTTAAAGTGCCTCAAAAATAGCCTAAGGAAGCAAGGTATTAAGACATCATGTAAAGGTATCGAGACATTGCTTTGGGAATGCTAATTTCCAAAGAACAAGCCTGGAAGTATCAAGACTCAAGCTTCAACGTATAAAGACTTCACCTCTAGGCTTTAGTTTCCAGAGAACAAGTGCTGAAGTATCGAGACCCATTGTTAAAGTATTAAGACTATATTTTTAAAACTTCAAATTCTAGAGAGTAAGAGTCCAAGTGTTGAGATCAGCTTGAAAAGTATCAAGACATCATCTCTAGACCTGATTTCCATAGAGCAAGCTGCTATGTATTGAACATGCTTCAGTCTGGGAGATGCTAAGGATGAACAATTATCCAAACATGCGACAGAGGAATTGAGACCTTAGTTGATTATGGCACTTAAAGTATTGAGACTTGTATTGAAGGTATTGATACCTCACCTCATACAACTTAGAAAAAGACATGAATAATGGCTACATTTTCAAGAACACTTCCTTTAATGGCTATTTTTGGATACCAACATATAACTAGAAGTCAAAGGCATGACTTTCAAAAAAAAGAAGATCAAACAGAAAATTTCTTAAGAATCACTCTCTAAATCAAGTGTTTGTTGACTCCATATGTTTATCATCCCTCATTCATTAATGTCTTACTTCACTACTTAAGTGTGCAATATAAAGTTGACCCCTCCAATAAAATTAGTGTTTAAAGGCAAGATCATATAATAGATAGATTAATTAGTTAGAGAGAGAAAGATGAAAAGGGTTAGTGAAGACAGAACTTTAGTAACTGATTAGCGAGAAGTTTTAATCAGTTAAGGCATGACTGGGTGACAAGTTGAACCAAAACAAAAAAATGTTAATTAGTTAGCACTAAGCTTAATTGATTAAGAAGGTGCTAGAGAAAGGACAACAGAGGTGTGTTAATCGGTTAAGGCATGGGGTTAATCAATTAGAGCACAAGACCTAAAGAACCTCCAAGGACCAAAATTCAAATTTGAAATAATTTTGACAGTTGAAGGGAGCCAAAATGGAGAAATTCAAATTTAGAGATTTTCTAACTGATTATAGTTGATGTTAATCTATTAAAGCTGAAGGAAGTGAAGCTCTAATCCGCTAAAGGGAGAGTTAACCAATTAAAATAATCCTACTAAAGTAAAGAATCTTGAAGATAAAGATCTCTTAATCGATTAGAATCTATTATATTTGGTTAACGTAGAGTACATAGCAAAAAGATAGTGCAAGGTAGACAAGTTGTAATTGATTAGAGCTGCCAGTAACCAGTTAGCCGAACTTTATTTGCCTAGTTGAATTTAAATACTAGAGGACAAAATAATGGCTAGAATGGCATCAAAGTTGTCTTTAAAGGCTAAAATCTATCTTTAACAGAAAAATTTGACGCCCTAAGTGTAAATTGAAGCTCCAAAGGTCAAAGAAGGTAGATTGAAGCACAAAAGAGCCATTTTGACCAAAAAGCCAAATAACCTTTACCAAAAACACTTGTCCTTTATTTCTTTTTCAAAAAAAGTGTTTGATCTTGCTTGTAATCTTTCCAAATTTGTAAAGATTTCTAATTGTACTTCTTGTTCTTCTTTTTCTTGAGAATTTAGAGTGTGGTAAGCACTTTAAAAGTCATTATAAGGGATTAGAGCTTGGGATAGACGCTCACCTTGTAAAAGCTTGGTGAAGCTCTTAATTCCATTAGTATAGTGAAGTTAGGATTGAAAATCCTTAATTGGGAGATCAAGATAGTGGATGTAGGTCAAGGGAACCAAACCACTCTAAATCCTTGTGCATTATCCATTTTTCCCTACCTTTCCTTACTTAGTTTCTTTTAGCTACTACAAGCTTTAAATCTTTCTTCCTCCAATTGATTAGAAGTTCTACAATTAAAAAAGGATTAATCTTAAAATTTTTAGTGATATTCACCCTCTCTAGTACACCAACAGGACCAACAGTGTTCATTATCTTTGCTTACTTGTGTCTTCAATTCCTATACTTCTTTGGTAAGACTTCATTCTTTCATTGTATTTACTAATTTATTCAGCCTATTTAAAGGCACTTAAGTTTTCATCCTATCTTCTTTGTAATCCATTGTAGACGTAGTGCATTTGTAAAGTTTATACATAGCGTAGAAAGGTACTGTATTTGTGAGTGGTTATGTGAAATCCCACCTCGAGTAAGAGGATAAATTAGAAAATCCTTAAGTCAGCGTACAGATTACATATGTTGAATATCAAATTTACTTTAACCTTCAAAAGAATTCATTGACACTTTTGTTGAATCCATATGTTTTTTATAATAACAAAACATTCCTCATTCATTAATGTCTAACTTCACTATTTAACTGTGTGGGATAAAGTTAATCCTCTCAATAAAATTAGTGTTTAAAGGTAAGATCACATAATAGATAGGTTGATCAGTTAGAGTGAGAAAGAAGAAACAGGTTAGTGAAGACAAAACTTCAGTAACTGATTAACAATAAGCCTTAATTAGTTAAGGCATGATTGGGCACTAGGTTAAAGCAAAATAGAAAACTCTTAATCAGTTAACACTAGGCTTAATTGATTAAGAAGGTGCTTGAAAATGAAAAATAGGGTTGTGTTAATCGATTAAGGCATGGGTTAATTGGTTAGAGCATAAGACTTGAAGAAGCTTCAAGCACCAAAATTCAAATTCAAAACAAGTCTGACCATTAAAGAGAGCCAAAATAGAGAAATTTAAAATTTAAAGAATTTCTAACTGATTAGAGCTTGTGTTAATCAGTTAAGGCTACAAGAAGTGAAGTTCTAATCAGTTAAGGGGAGAGTTAACCAATTAGAGGAAGTCTACTGAATGGAGAACCTTGAAGACAGAGATCTATTAATCGTTACAGTTTCTTGTAATCAGTTAACACAGAGTACATTGTAGCAAGATAATGCAAGGTAGAGAAGCTATAATTGGTTAGAGCTACTAGTAGCTAATTAGCTAAGCTCTGTCTTCCCATTTGAATTTATACACTAGAGGACAAACTGATAGCTAGAACGGCATCATAGTTGTCCCTAACGGCTAAAATCTATCTTAAATAGCAAAATCTATCTCCTCAAGTATAAAAGGAAGCTCCAATGGTTAAGAAAGGTGGATTTGAAGCAAAAAGAGCTATTTTGAGCAAAAAGCCATAAGAACCTTCATTAAAAAGACATGTTATTCATTCTTATTCTTGAAAAAGTGTTTAAGCTTGATTGTAATCTTTCTAGATTTTGTAAAGGTACCTAGGTGTACTTCTTTTTCTTAGGAATTTGGAGTATGGGAAGCACTTTAGAAGTCATTGTAAGGGATTAGAGCTTGGGTTAGAAGCTCACCTTGTAAAAGCTTGGTGGAAGCTGTCAAT